ACATCTATAACCAGTTAATCTAAGAATTTTTTGTGTTATGACTATTACCACCAATTGACCTAAAAAGTGGTTGTATTATAGTTTATTATGTATGCACCTACTATTACGAAGACAAATAAATAATTCAAGTATTCCTCATGAATGTCTTATCCTTCTGGTTTGCTTGGATTAATCAGTTGTCATGAATACCACCAGCTAACCTAAGAAATTGTTGTGTGATGGTTTATATACATTAGACCTACCAATTGACTTGCCAGTAACATGGAAGTTGATTGTTGTAAGATAGTATTTTTAGTATTTCACCAATATAACGCATATGAGATCCTTGAACTGAAGGATACTTTTTATTATTGTCTTAATCTATCTGCACATAACTGTTTACTTAGACTAGTTATCAATCTAAGCTCACATCACAAGCTATCACATGATGCCCTATTCGAATTAGTAACTTAACTATTTTGTTTCATTTTCAAATTATTAAAACTCTTCGTGAGATCGATACTTGGACTTAAAATTGAAAAAACTATAATTCGACCACTTATACTTGGGTATATAATATTAATCCGATCACTAGAAAGTGCGAATCAAGTTCCTCATTTACTCTTTAGTCAGAGGTGATGAACATGTATTAATTATCCGGAAGTTATATTTGTGTGTTTCCTTTATGCTTTAATGTTTTATATTTCATTTATTAAATGATTGAATGCATCTAGTAAAGCTAACGTACTTTGTATAACTACAAGTTTTTTCTATGTCACTGATGACTCTTGCATAGAAAGACCTATTGGTTCAAGGCAAGTACCCGGGCTAGATCTTCATGACATATTTCAATATTCACTATTATTGTGTTTTATCTAAAGAATAGAACATTAATGTCATAATTGGATGCCTTGTAGAAATACTTGTTTGTTTGTAGACAGGTTAAATTTCGGCACAGGCAATTCTTGTCAACTTCTAGAAAGGCATCGGAATCATGTGCTTAATTCTCATTGTCCATCTTTACCTTTCGATTAAATTATTGTTGACACGGGAGTTAATTGAGTTATAAAACACAAGTATAATAAATCAGATGGTTAATTACATGTTCTGATCCTCAAGCTAAAGGGTGACTATTTTACATTTGAATTTATCTTATATTTTTTCTAGAATACTCTTAGAAAGAATCTTCTATTCTATTCAAAGAAATCTCATAACTTCAAGCTCTCAAGGTTTTCAGTTTCTTGGTCTCTATTACTGCTCACTTCCAAACACCAATCATAATTTCCCGTAGATTCAACTCCGGACTTAACCGGATTATTACTACAGCTTGACCACTTGCACTTGGGTGTACACATTTCGGATCAAGTCACATGCATCCTTAATCTAGATAAGCAATTACCCTTTGTGGAGTTTGACAATAACATTTACCAGACGAGCACACAGATGACACCCTATGAGGTTTTTTATGGGAGGTCATGTCATTCTCCGGTATGTTGGACAGAGGTTGGAGAGGGACCATCCACGAGTCTAGACTTGATTAGGGAAACCTTAGAGAAGGTGGACCTGATATGGAAGCATCTTCTTACGGCTCAAAGTCGACAAAAAAGCTATGCCAATAAGCGGTGAAGACCTCTAGAATTCAAGTTTGAGGATCACATCTTCTTGAATGTTATGCCCAAAAAAGGAGTGATCAGGTTTGGGAAGTGGAAAAACTGTCATAGAGGTATATCAGGCCCTTCTAGGTACTCAAGAGAGATGGTACAATTGCTAACCAGTTGGCATTACTACCAAATATGTTGGTGTTCACGCGGTGTTCCATGTCTCCATGCTTCAAAAGTACACTCTAAATCCTACACATGTGGTGGATTAGGTGAGTTGGTTATTGATATGGATGAGACCAAAGAGGAGGGACCGGTGCATATCAAAGATAGTCGAGAGTAAATTTTGCATAGCAAAATTGTGAGGCTAGTGAATGTGTTGTTGTAGCATCGTGGTATGGAGGAGGCAAAATGGGAGTGTAAGGATACTATCCATGTAACCTATCCGTTCCTATTTGAGAATAAAGGTACATTTCTTGTAGTCATAGACATTATATGGCTTGTTGCATATGCATTTAGTTATATGTGTCTATGTATGTAATTTTGGGGACGAAATTTCATTAAGGAGGAAGAATGTAACACCCAAGAAAATTAAAATTATATTAAAAATGGCAAAACGTTAATTAGCCATTACAATATAGGTTTAAATTTTAAATTTTTTTAGAACTCCGATGATGAAACGCACCTTACAGTTGGATTCGTATTACAAAATCTAGTTAACTAGTGAATTTTCATCGAATTTTGAGACAATCAAATTTTTCACGTTTTACAAGGTGATTGGATATCGTGCAACTAAAATAAACGCGATTAGAATTTCGTTGTGAAACTCAGAAAACAATTTAAAATTATTTTAATAAAAATACACAATACTTAAAACGAGATGAGATTTAATTGATTCGAGTTAAAATTTGATCAGAAAAAGAGAGACGCGTGGTGCATCATGCACCAAGCATCCAAGGAGTATAAAAAGAGAGAGAGAGAGAGAGAGAGAGAGAGAGAGGGAATGATTTATGGATTAGTCATCAAGTGAGCCATATATTTCAAAAATATTCATTTCGAAATTGAGATTGTATTGTCCAAGAAACTAAAATATTTTGAATTAGACAAATAATGAAGGCGTTGAGAAATTCTCTTAAAAATTTAAACAAACACAAGGCTATTGGAAATTCTATTTAAAAAAATTTGATATTCTAGTAATCATGGGAGTTTTTGGAACTTAGATGCTCGATAAAATGTTAAGGATTTCCTTAAGAACATGAGATTTTTTTTAAAGACATGAATATTGCATGAAAATGAGATTTTATGTGAAGATAAAATTGGTTGCTTAAAATACTTTATCGAGAATCTATGAAAAAATTATTGGATGAGGAAATGAGGCTTTTTTTCTTTTACACTTGGGACCTTTAATAATCATATGAGTCATTGGGAGATCAAGAGAAATTGGTGCTTCCTAGTAGGTGAAAAACTACTGGCTACATGAATAGAAAATTTCATATATTAAAAATTGGACCATATTTACTTAATGGGTTTTCATGCATGCCTGTGTGATGGAAGCTCTATATGAACTATATTTACTTGATGGGTTCTTATTAATAACCAACAAGATGGAGGTTTGGCGATGAAATTTTATTTTGTAGATAAATATTGCGTTGGAATATGATGATATTGTGCTAAAACGTAGCCAACATATTATTAGTGGTAATGTTGAGTTATTTCATAAAAAAATACCACTATACGACAAATGTTGTAGTGGCTAGCAAGAAACAGGTTGTTGATTTATTGTGCATACTTATTATTTCAAAATTCCACCTGTTATGTATACAACTGATATTATTGGTGTAGTGCTAAAGATTGAACCTATGTATTGACATCTTATTATGTGAAAAATTTTGAAGTTCTAGATGGAGGCATATATTTGATTTACATTGAAGGGGATGAGACTTAAGCCCAAATATTTATTAAATCTCTTTTGAGCATACCCTACCTAAGGACTAGAGATATCAAGATTAGGTTAAAAGACCAAATAGAGTGGCTTGTTGCGAGACATGCACTATCTAAGTCTTAATAACTCATTGTTCATCCCTGTGGTACAAGTGCATATAATCTTGTAACGAATGTTGAGGTAGAAGCTGGTTTAAATCTCTTAATGAGTTCTATAGCCCTCATGGGTTGGATGTCCTAGTCACAAGAGCATCCTTGATAGACTCACCGATATGAGTGTGGAAGTGGGAGACGCTTCCTATGAGAATTGAGCTAATTCTCTGCAGCACTTATGAAAGCTGAGATAAAGCACAAACATATAATGTACTTGTAAAACCCAAAAATTTTAAAATTTTATTAAAAAGGGAAAAATGATAATTAGCCATTAAAGTATTAGTTGAAAACTCAAATTTTTCTAGAACTTGGATGATAAAATGGACCTCACCATTGGATTCGTATCGTGAAATCTAGTTACCTATTCAATTTTCGTTAAATTCTGAGATAATTAGATTTTTTTTGCGTTTTACGAAACGATCAGATGCCACACAACTAAAATAAACACGATTAGAATTTCTTCGCGAAATCTAAAAAATAATTTAAAATTAGTTCAATAAAAATATACTAAACTTAAAACGGGATAAGATTTAATTGATTTGGGATAAATTTGATTAGAAAAAGAAGGACGTGTGGCGCATTATGCACCAGGCATCTAAGGAGTATAAAAATGGAAGAAATCGTAATTAAGGCTTATTGCATATGCAACGGGAGAAGAAAGGATTGTGGTCAAACACTAGTCCTTTTAGACTTTTTGGTTAGAGTCACGAAGCTAAAAGCATATTATTTTGCCGTTTATTACTTAGTCATGATAAAGCAAGAAAAATCCTAATACGGATGAGAAAGTAATGCCTCTTTTAGATTAACAGTTGGCAGATCAATATTGAAAGCTACTTGGCTCGACCGGCCTGAGCGATGCATATTATAGGCGGGCTGCTATGTGGCTGACGGAAGGGCCCCTTAGAGATTCACTAAATAGGAAGGCGGGTGCGACCAATTCAATTCAACCACTTGGAAGGATTACAAGAGATGCTTCTATGACTAAGGACCAAGTTCTCCCGACTTTCTCCTCTGATCTACAAAAATTTAACCATTAGATTGCTTTGAGCCAAGAATTAAACAATTTCACTTCTACATAATTTGTAATGTTGATATTTATTTCTGATTCTATTTGGATCTAATTCTAACATAAATATTTTTGAATTCGAAAGTTCGAATAGTTGTTTGTTAGTTGTAACAGTGACCTATCAATGCTTACAAAAAACAATCTATGATATATTCTCCAGCAAGTAGCAATATATTTAATTTCATTCCTCAAAACTAATTTTGTTACTTTTATGGTTTCATGAGTCAAGTAGTTTTTGATTCATTCACCATTTGATCAAGGCTATAGTTTTCAATCTAATTTTATCACATAAATGTGCATTCGGATACAATAATTACAAAAGGTATAAACTAAACCCCCAGTTACCATGATCAAAAACCCAACAACACCTGTCGTTTTCTATGACCTAATTCCATAAATCGAGAAGATCAAGTAATAATACATTCATTCAATGTTCTGCTAGATTCTTCCATTTTCATTACTGGAATATTTATTCTGACTGCAGAGAACAGTCAGAGCTCTGGTAAGGTGCTCAGGTTTTAAACCTCCCTTTTGATTCGAGTTATTTACACTTCAACTGATAGGTTTGTCTTTGGTCCCATGTGCTCTGATACATTTCAAGATCCCTTTGGTCCCATAAATTGTGCCACCATGTTCATGCAAAAATGCAGTGAGGAGTTTTCAGTGAAACAAAAACAAATTGGGAAGCTGATTATGACTTTGGTCCCATGCGATGAACCCACCATGTCTGCTGGGGGTGTTGGAGAGTGTCCGGTTGTAATTTGTCACACATGAATCAGCTGGTTCATAGATAGAAGAACTGTTTGGATCCTAGAAGGTTCAAATGCAATCCCCAAACAGCCCCTTAAGACCTTGGACTTACTGTCTGATTAAAACTGAATGAATTGGAGGGACATGCAGAGGAAAGGTTCTTAACCAGTGGAATCAAGGACTGCACAACATCTGTCATTATTGGGCGGTAGTCTGGCTCTGTTTGCACGCACATGGCTGCTATAGCGGCTACCTGAAAACCAATACAGTGAGAAGGAAAACATCATTGGCTCGAACTTACGCTAATAGTAACAAAATAATATTTCACAGCACAAAATTAGATTTTAGTCATAAATTTTATTTTATTTTATTTGTAACCTTCGATCGCAAAAATAATAAAGTAAGAGAAATTTGTACTAGTCTTGTTTTCATTTGATAAATAAATATATATATAATATCAAAAAACAGTTTTTTGATATCGTAATGGGACTCAATCTTTAGAATCAATCATGCATTTGGTAATAATAGTGATCATAATAGAAAGGCAAGCTGACCTGAGTCAGATCCTTTTTCGAAAACTGGCCTTGCAGTGCCGGATCAACCATTTTCTCTACTTTTTCCCTGTTAGTTAACCTTGGAAGCGCCTATACTCATCAAATAAACTGCAGTTTAGAGATTTAATATTTTTGGCTCAATGCCCTAGTAACCTTTATGCAAGCTATAATTATGTTATGGTGGTGCAAGATATTGACAAAGTACTGACCGAAAAGAAAAAAGACTGACAAACTAGTTTTTTAATTGTTGTAACTGCAGAGATATTAAGTTCTTATATATATTTTTTTATCTTCGATACCAACATTAAGGGATGTTACTGACCCAAGAGACAAGGACATGCTCTCCAGGAGGGCGCTTTGTATCCACTGGAACACGGCCTGTCAAGAGCTCCAAAAGAACTACACCGTAACTGTATACATCTGACTTTGTTGTGAGCTTACCCGTTGAAGCATACCTAGATGGCCAAATTTTAAAACAAAAGTAAGTTGCTACAGTCAGAATGTTACAAACTTTCATGCCTTTGAACTAAGTTGTCTGAAACCTCACTGCGTCAAATTATAGTTTTTGTGCAGATTCTAGAGGAGATAGAGTCATTAGAACGAATTGCACTTCAACCCCATCAACTATGCCTCTGAGCTGACTTTGCCCTTTCAACCATCGAATTCCTCACCTTTCCCTCTCTTAACTAGTTGAATGGAATTATGCATATTTAATGACTACAGGTGAAGTAATATAAAACCAATAATTATACTTGAATGTGCAATGTGAAAAATATGCTAATTAAGGCATAGTTAAACTACTAAATATAGCTGTAGGGGCAACGTCAGAATGTTACACTTTATGGGGCAATGTATAACCATGCACATAGTTAAGAGGTTCAAACTATACTTTGCCTTATCTACTATGAAAGCCGAATTTCGGCCTGGCCATGTATTTTGGTTCCCTAGACAGCTTTAAAAGACCACAGAAACTTATATTCTGCCTGATAGGGACCTTAGAATGCCCGTGTGCATGATCTTGTGAAAGTTGCATATACATTGGGTTATGTAATAGAAATGCATGAGAGGTGATGGAGCACGCACTCTGGGGCTAAATATCCTGTGGTCCCTAAAACGCGAGTGGAAACTAGACCATTGATCTTGTCTGAACCTATCTTGGCCAACCCGAAATCCCAAACCTTGGCTCTGAAATTTTGGTCTAAGAGAATGTTACTGCACTTAAAATCACGATGGATGATTGATGGCATTGTGTGCTCATGGAGGAACTCAAGGGCTCTAGCACAATCAAGTGATATTCTCAGTCGGGTACCCCAATTTACTGTTGGAGATTGCTTGTTCGGAGGATGGAGATGGTGTTGAAGAGTACCACTGGGCATGAATTCAAATACTAGGACCCTGTGGTGTTGATCTGCGCAGTACCCAAGAAGCTCCACAATGTATGGAGAGTGCAAGCGGCTTAATAAATCCACCTGCCAAAATATAACAATATTTAAAAGCAAGAAAGAACGGTTTATTTTCATTATTTAGTACAAGTCATGTGCAATGTTAGAACAATGTTATTTGAATTTAACTTAAGAATTTAAAATATTGTTGTTATTGAATTAGCACTGGATCATCACGACCAGCAATTGACAATTGGAAATTGTATACAAGGTTCATTAATGCGGTATCATGACAATCCATAGTAGATGAAGAGGTGTACAAATGTGTCGTTGTGTGTATTGAGAAAGATAAGGGCTTGACAATTGTAGTCCAACATCATCAACCGGGCACAAAATTAGTGGGTTAGTATTTAGTATTATAGGTTCGGATTGGTAAATGATTATATCTAGTAGTCCCTTCAAATTAGTTCAATGTTATTGTATTATAAATAGTTCAATGTTAGGTAGTGCCTATTTAAATTCAAATAACATTTTTCTTAGTTATATTTGGAGCAAAGAATGATACCAAATGCAAGAACAGTTGGCCGAGACCGGAATATAGATATTGTGTGTGTGTGAGAGAGAGAGAGAGAGAGTACGTGTGTGTGTGTGTGTGTGTCTGACGAGAACAACATTAAGAATATAGCAAGGAACCTCTGAGCGAAATGCACGCTCCCCTTGCTTCCCTTGCCCCTGCAACACCTTAACTGCTGCCATAGTGCCCTCACTCAGAACCCCTTTATAGACGACTCCACACCTTTCATTTCCTACAACATTTGCTTCATTAAATTTATCAGTTGCCACTTCAAGCTCCTTGTAGGTGAAAACTTCGACTCGTCTAGACTTTGTTTGAGCCAGACGGCTTGAACTTCCTCCATATAGACACCCATCCTTCACTTCTGCTACATTGCACATCAAAATTTGCAAAGCATTGTATGTTCATTAAAAACACACACACATATACAAGCCAGTTACAATCCAACACAGTCCAGTGCACGGGACTTCCGCCCCTACGGGGTCTAGGAAGAGTCACATGTTGCCATTCATAATATCTATGAACATGAAAAAGATAGGGATTGAAGAATTGAGTCATTACCTTGGCAAAAATTGATGTTAATGGTGCTAAGAGTAATGAACATGCAATTACTGTTGTTGATGATTCTGTTGTTCTTAGTACTGTCATTGTTCTTTGTAGATTGTAGGCGACGGAGAAATACTACAATCAGTAATATTGCAACGAGCAAGATGCTTATGATAGTGGGCATGATAATTACAAGAATAGAAGTGGAGGGGAGTATATTGTGATGGTGATGTTGTTGAGGCTGTGACTGATGGTGGTTCTGGGTGTGGTTTTTTGATGCAAGACCAGGTGGGCTTGCGGGAGCAGCAATGTTTTTAGTTCCCATGAGCAGAAAGCGCAGTAAATTGAAAACAAGTGTGTGTGTGTTTGTGAGAGAGAAAGAGAGAGTTATAGCACAAGATTGAAATGCACAATACTTGTAGAGCTGGTTGGATTTCCTTTCCTAGGAGGTCATGCCTGTATGGCCACAAGATGGGGGGAGGCAGAGTTTCCCTTCCTAGGAGGTCGTATTGCCAGTATGGCCACATGCCTCTCTGTCTGTGTATCTCTCTCTCTCTTGAAAAATTAAGGGTCATCTTTACTTCATTTGTCGCTTCCTTTGTTTTTGTCACAAGGTATAGTCCTCTTGTTATCATAAAAAATTGGAAACTTACTGTTTTCAATCTACACATCCAAATAATTAGCTGATAATCATTGTGCTGTCTGCACAAACTTTTATCATCTAAAATTTTGTGAAACCTGCTTGAAGTGGTGAGTTGGAAAATTGACTTGCATCACCGGTGAATTGGGCAAGTGTTCTCGCAGATTTGCTGGTTGGTCCATTAAAAAGTTAATAAAAAAAAGCATTCTCGTGTCTATACCTAATGATACATGGTCATTATTCACATGCCAACAGTAAGACCCACAAGCAATTTTCCAGAAAGTCAATTGCCTGCCCTGGAATTCAAGGAAGGAGAAGAAGAGAGAGAAAAAAAAAGGGGGGGGGGGAGGGGGGGTCGCTTTTTTGGGCTGGGGTTGGGTGTGTTGTGGTCCTGATAATGTAAAGCAATGATCATCACAAATATGTTTTTCACCTATGTTACAATTGGCGCTCAATTTTTTTCCCAGTATTTTTTCCTCAAAATCATCAACCCATAAGCAAAATTTCATTGATTCCTTTATTTTGTTCCTTCAATTTCTTTTATTTTTTTTGGAAGGGGAAAGGAGAAGGGAGAGAGAACTTGAATCCTTGATCTCAACAAAACAAAGAGTGTCGTTAGACTAAAAACCCATTGATTATGTTCCTTCAATTAGCTAGCCACTCAGTCATCTTTTTTAGCTGGTGATCATGACACTTTGAGCCTGATTATTCTTTTAAAACTTCGTGGAAAATGCTACTATCTAGTGTTCGATATGCCGTTCCCAATATTAAGAGGTAGCGAGAAATTTTGCAATATTACGAATCTAACACAAAATCACCGAGTAGAAGTGGTCATTACTTGGCACACAACCAAAAGCGATACGACTAGTTTGTGCGAATATAACTTGGTCTAATTAGTATCAAGTATAAATAATGTGACTTTCACATCACAACCTCTTCAAGTTTGTATGTATAAAAAATGTTTAGTTTTTTTTTTCACTTTTTAAATCTGGTCCTATATGAATTCTGGTCAAATTTGGAGTTTCTTAATTAATTTTACTATCATCTGAATTAAGGGAAAATTTTAATTTATGTGAGGGCCGTAGGTGGCTACTTTTGGGTAAGAGTGAAGATGATCTTAGTCCTAAGTTTTAAGATCAGGTCGTCAAGTACGATTAACTAAACAAGCTAGCATAGAATAGATCATTTTTAACAGAAAACCAAAAAATTGTGCGACACAAACACAACAATACTTAGATTCCCACCCCTATTATGAGGGGTTGCTCTCAAATTCAAATCCATGTATTTTAAATTAATATCGTTAGCATTTATGAATCATTAAGCAATAGCTTCGTGTGTAACTAGATATTGTTAGAAACGGAAAGATCACTTTGAGATCTTTATACAAAAAGTATTTGATATATCAACGTATCTGATGAAGCAGAAAACTGAGAAGCGTGAAGTAGTTAAGCTAAATGAGTTAAGAGTGAGATGTGATGAGTCTGCGAACTAAAATAGGTAAAGAAAGCTCAAGAACTTGAATGGTTCGCCTAACTAAATAGCTGGGTTAGTCCACTATAATGGAGACTTTTGCTCCTCAGTTGTATATTATTGGGGAGAAGAAGTTGAGAATAGAAGACTTTGAGAATAGAAGACTTAAAAATAAATTCCTTGAACCATCGTCTTGGCTCTCTATTTATACACCGGTAATAATTTTGATCTTCAACCGAATTGGCCTGTGAATACTTGGGGAATATTTGAGCCTATACATGGCCTTCTAGAAATGATGGTGTGCCCTTCCAAAAAGGGTGCCGCTTTACTCAAGGTAAGTTTTGGGATGAGCTTTCCATTTTTGCCCCTTGCCTGCTACTGGATTCCCTCTAGGTCTTGTTAACCTTTAGTCCTTTCCAGCCCAATTCTGTCGAGTCGGACCATTCTCTTGGTGTGGGAAAAATGGGTCACGCTTATGACCAATTTTTAACCTGTATCATCAGTTGTCCACCAGTCGAGCTATGATCGGCCTGACCTAGCCTTAGGCTGGGGTAGTTACTTCAGTCTTTCTATGTTTTTCCCATGTGTTGGGGTACTAGTAACTAGAGTGGGGGGAATTAAAACTAACATCTATTACCCTCCAACTAGCGGATCGCGGTGTAAAGATGCCTAGAGAAATTGTGGAGAATGTATTAATCCAAGTTGATAGATTTTACTTTCTTGTTGATTTTATTATTTTAGACACTCATCCTGCTATTAACCCTATAGCACAAATTTTAGTTATTTTAGGAAAATTATTTCTTGCAACATCTAATGCCATTATAAATTGCATGAATGGGGGCATGGAGCTTGCATTTGGAAATATGATGTTGGAATGGAATGTTTTCAATATCAGTAAGTAGCTAAGTGATGACGGAGAATTTTATGAAGTTAATATGATTGAGACCGTCATTAAACAGCATTTGGAGTAGTTGGGTGATAGTAATTTGGATGAGGTTGAGGCAAGAGAAAGGCTAGACTTTGAAATTGTCTGTGAGATAGGCACTTGGATGCCTAAATTTAAAGAGTTTCCACCAATTGAAAAGAAGGTTGTTCCATCCACCATTCAACCACCAACTTTTAGAGCTAAAACCACTACCTTCCACACTGAAGTACGCTTACTTGGGTAGTGGTGAGACATTCACTGTGATGGTTAATTCAAAATTGAAGCTAAAGTAGAAAGAGAGTTTATTGACTATCTTGAGAAGACATAAGGGAACCATTAGGTGGACAATACCAGACCTTAAGTGTGACGCTCCAAAATTCGGATGTTCGTAATTAACTTTGTGATCACCCATCAACTCGCGAAATACCTGTGGATATCGTGTAACTCAATACCACGCCATTATACCCCATTTACCAAAATTCATAACTTAACAAAATTCAGACAGAGTCTCCTTTGTATGAGGAGCTCTACAAAAAACACAACTTGTACAATCATACAACATTGACCACATTAGGTCCATTTATCCATACTCATATAACAACATGTAATTTTACATTAAAATAGTAGTCCATATGAATTCGATTACAATCTTTTACATATATTACATGCCCAAAAACTAATTGATATCTTAATTTTATAAAAGTATAATTTAAAAGTCACATTTCAACTTTTTTTTCATCAATGAGGGCCAAAAATGAGAGTCGTTCACTGGCTCATATCCCGCACCTGAAATATTGTTTTTATAAAAGGTGAGTCACGTTCAATAGGGTATCTCTTAAAAAGACTATTCCCTAACCTATATGTATATGAAATGCTCACATGCAATTCATAAACAACAATCACTCTATTCAAAAATATACAATTCAACAATGAAATCCTCAAATGTCATGCCATGATATGAGATACGACTCGCACATGCAACTCAACCCGAGTCTTTACCAACTCCCTCAACACATGCAATATCATGCATATAAATCTGGGCATTCTAAGTCTTCGTCATTGATGTTACACATTCAATGACCTTTTTAAATCCAGGTCTTTCTTGAGGTGGGTATTTATGGACTCACACCAACCGGCACCCAACCGACACAACATTAATGGACTTCCACTAATGGCTCCGTGTACACCGCCACACTTTATAAACTCAATACCAATTGAGTGCGTATCTGAATCACTAGGTCTTACACCCGAGGGAGAATCTAACCATTCTTGTTAACCCCGACCCTATATTCAATAGAAACCTTAAACATCGGCCCAACTATCTCGAGCCTATGTATCATTCACCAAGAATGGTATTTGATCAAATCATTCACACACACTCACACTCATGTCAAATGCCCACGAATGTGATGCTACCCGTGCATATGCAATATAAATGTATAATTGTATTTCATGTCATTATGCAACTAGAATCTCAATTGCAATTACAATACCATATTCAATATGTCATGAGCACATTATGAACAATCCAATATCCAACAATTCTTTTTTTCATGGTAAATTACATTATAAGCATATAACCACCATAAAAAATTTTAATGTCAATATATCATATGAATATACAAACACCTACCAACATCAAATTCTAAGCATGTTATAACATAATCAATGCAAAAAACACACTTAATCTAAATAGGCATTTAATCAAGCACTTTCAAGGCACCAAATCATGTAAATACATATACCCAATTTCATCATATATCTCAAGAAATCACAACAAGTAATTTTTACATGCCCAATTCATGCTATAAGTGATTTTAACCATTCTTAATACTCATTTTTCACATTTCAAATACCTACATTTTTCATGAATTTATCAAACAAGTAAATTCTACAAACCCAATTCATGTAATAATGGTTTAGCATATTTCTATACTCATCTTTCACACTTTATTTACACTAGGATTATATTAAATAAGAGAATTCATCTCGAGTCATGCTACCCATATCATATGGAACCCTAGGTTGAAAATAAACCTAATTAGGAAAAGAACCCTACCTCTTGAAGCTTAAAACACATTGTAGAAACCTTTAAGAATTGCAATCAAGCCCAAACCCTTGATTTCTCCATGTCCCCCTTTTTTGGAACTTCACCCAAATCAATGCTTTTTGGTATGGTTGCTTAGCTCTCGACAAGAAGAACAATTTTTGTTCTTGGCTTGAATCGATTTGATCAATGAAACTCCGCAATTGTAGAGAGAAGGTGGAGCTTCCCTCTGTTCTTTTTATTGTTTAGACAATCTGATGGGTATAGGGAGAAATCTGATTTTTCTCCCTTCTTTATAC